AATATCAAAAGAAGAGTTGGAAAACAAAAGACTGGAAAAGAGACATTGGTCTGACAAATAAGCAGGACCTTAGCTTATGCTTTGCTAGTATTGCTGATTATATCCAATCAGTCTAATAGTTACATCTGCATCATGTCACATAACTCAAATGATATCAAATTGTTTTTCTAAACCTGACCATGATGTCACTGAGCCCCACTGGGCTCCAAAGTCACCATTTCTCATCCTACTGCTCATATTTTCTGATGTAAAACCGGCGATCTGCATCATGGATGTGGGATCAAAATACAATTACAACAACATGTTAAATATCAGGTCAATGTGAATGGGCTCTATGCACAGCTCCACTACTTCCTGAATTTAAAGCAGCTCCTTTGTTTCCTGTCTTTCATTACTGGACGAACTGATTAATCCAGGTGTGTCTGGCCAGTTACTTAGGTCATACACACCTGGATTAATCAGTGCATCCAATCATGAAAGACAGGAAACAAAGGAGCTGCTTTAAATTCAGGAAGTAGTGGAGCTGTGCATAGAGCCCATTAAAGTACCTTGTAAATGCACCTGACACCTTATTAAGAATTAGGGTAATTCATAAGACAAAAAGGGTTCAATAGTAGAAAACACTTAAAATGTGTGAGTATTTAAGTACCCGGTACAATTTGTCCAGTTCCATGTTGATCCTTTTTAAATTCACAGGCCACTGCAGCAGGCTGTTTATTGTCCACACAGACTCAGTCTCTAATCAAATCCTGCTGAAATGCTCTGAAGTTGAAGTGCTGTGTGGGCGAAATGGAAGTGAAACTGGTGGGCAACACCTCGCTTCAAAACACAAAAACCTCCTACCTGACTATACTGTAACTATGTCACTCTTAGAGCCATTCATATGTCAAGCAATACTCCTGAACAACAGTGATGGAGGGCATTGTCCACTGCAGGCAAATGAGTCTGATTGTTTTCAGAGACGGCAAAAAGAAACACAGTAAAATCAGTGCAGTAAAATCCTTCACAACTATAGCAAAATAAGGGCTCAGTTCTATGAAGCAGCTTTTGAATCTACTTCAGAAAAGTCTGTTTCCCAAAGCAGGCCTGTTTGTTACCATAACAACTCATGTAAAAAGAGGAGCTCTAACCTGGTTATGGGACCCCTCCTCCACAAATCTTTCCTCGAGAGCAGCAGCGGTGCTCAGACAAATTTTCTCTTTTCTTCTATGTTCAGGAAATCAAACAGAGGAGATCATTTTCAAAGCAATGTATCATCCATTGATCCATTTCCATTACGCTTTATTTAAGGTGGGGTCGCGAGGGGTGCCTATCTCCAGCTGTCTGTGGGTGAGAGGTGGGGTACACACTGGACAAGTCGCCAGTCCCTCACAGGGTAACACAGAGACAAACAGGACAAACAACCATTCACGTGCACACTCACACTTAAGGAGAATTTAAAGAGGCCAATTAACCTAACAGTCATGTTTTTGGACTCTGGGAGGAAGCTGGAGTACCCGGAGAAATGCTGGAATCGAACCCTGCAAGGCAGCAGTGCTACCCACTGCCCCACTGAGCAGCCCACCAATGTAAGATAAAAAAGATCATAGGAATATCTTTACCTGGGTAAGTAAAAACGCTAAAATGAACATAAAATGAGAGACTGTGCCTCATCCATAAAGTTTATTGAAAATTAAAAACTGCAATGCAAAGACCCATTTTAGGTCCATGAACCTAGGAGAGGATTAATGACTGTGCAACCCACTGAAATTGCTGAAAGATAATTAGTAGATTTTTTGGCAACTGCATTTTAAATTGACCTAAAAAAAAAAATTAGCTTTAGCAAG